CGTTCTCGTTCCTCCCTTTTCAATATAAGCACGAAAACGAGATATATATGATGAATGTGTAACACGTTTAAATCGACGCTTCACACCCTTCCAAGACCGACGGCGTTTTCCTGTCAACGGATTTCTTTCATCATAATATTCAATAACCTTTTTCATATAATCTAAAGAAAATTTTTGAAGAAGACCATCACTGTCGTCGTTGTCCATGTCGTTGAAATCAGGATCTAATTCAGAGTCTTCTGATACAACATATTGATCAATTTCATCTTCGGTTAAATCATCGGAAATGTAATCAAGAGAAATTTCACTTTCTACAGTAAACTCATGACAGTTGATAATTGTATTTAATAATTCAGCTAAATGATTGATAACCTCTTCTTCACGTGCTGATGGAGATTGAAGACTAATTTTTCTCGATCCTGTAGATTGAGAAAACTTCTCTGTGAGAAGAGAACATACAACCGATGCATTTATCATTTTTGTCAGAAACGAATAAAATGAATATCAGATAACCTATACAATATATTTTGTTCTTCTCTTTCCTATACATGTGGTTATAGTTCAGTTCGTCCAAGTAAATTACTTTGGTTTATTTCTTCCCATTCAATGATATATATAATTCATACATCAAAGATATTCGCTAACACTATATATGTAATTTATCATATAGGTGCCGTTGGAGCCAATAAGATAGGAATGAAAATGAATATACTATTGTGAAAGACTACGATTATCTTACAATTCTAGGAAATACTAGATGTAATGACATATAGAACGATATTATTACTGTCTAAAGTTAATAATTGCATCTTCTCAAGGTTGTCTGAGCTCAAATTCTCACATTGTGTCCTACATGACTAATACTATTTGTGACAAAAATCTTGTTTCATTTCCGTATGTATTGTTTGGCATATTATTTTTTGCTGATAAAAGAACCCTTATAATTATGATAATAAAAATGCTCTAGCGCCTCAGAAACAAGCCAGAAACTCGAACTTTTTTTACCGTAAGCATAGCTCACTACGGGCTACAAGATGCACGAAACCCCGATTGAAAAGTGCTCCCGCACCTTGGAAGGTTCCCTAGTCAGTTGTATGTACGACAGCTTCTCGATCAAGTTAATAGGACTAATTGGTACGATCTGACCGGATAATCGAATGAAGACGAAATCAGAACAGATGATGTTGACTGGTGAAGATTGATTGACGACATCGATGTTTACTGCAAGACGTTTCTGGATGATGAACTTCTCCACATAGATCATTGTCTCCATGTTTGAACAATTACTATGTTGTATTGCACGAATAAAACCCGCTTCTAAAGTACCTTGACCATCTTCAAAAGCAACACATCCATCGTCAAGCATTTTCCCATCTGACACTGTAAATCTGACATTGCCGACGAAGAGAACTTTATAAAATGGATGAGACATTTTACAGTGCAGCTGTTGTTGAATAAATAAACTTTCACATTCATTCAATTGCCTATAGGTAGACAAGTGAGTGGATCCGGATAATGGTTTTTCAATGGTTGCAAGACACTCTTGTTTCTTAAATGCATTCATTCCTGTATAGAATAATTTTAATTGTTGGTTGAAGTCATTTCGTTCAATATCAGCTGTCGCCGTTCGAATAAGATCAATATTGTTTCTGATTTCTTGTGCATGCATTCGAGTTCCGTGAACTGATGAAGTGATGACGCCTAAAATGGAAGTATAGACGCAAGGTTTTAAAAATGGAACTATATTTATTACCCAAGATACTTTCAAATGAAAACGTGGAATAGTTCTGAAGTGGTCCGAAATTTGCAATCGTCTTTGATACGTGCGTGAGACTGTGGACCACCTGTGTGTGGTGACGACCGGTATAGATTGAAGGAAATTCTTGTACAAATATATCCAATAAGTATTTTATTTTAGTTACTTGACGTTGTTTCAAGCATCGGCTTTCAGCAAGGTGCATGGCAATCGAGAGTAATTCCAAATCTATGAAGATAATTACATTTATATCGGTTAGTTAAAAAAAACTTTAAAAAAATCATTTTAAAAAATGTTCGAACAACATTCATCAAAATAATGTAATGAATTTGATGGAACAGAATATTTTACTATAAATCATAGAATAATTTTAATTTGTTTCAGACTAATGGTATTCATTTGATGAAACTAACATAGTCATCGCAGAAAAATCCAATTTTTCTTCTTTTACATCATGTTTTTTCAATAGAAGTTTTTTGCCCTTCCTGTTGAAACGGTCCCTGTTGTTGTTTTGCCTACGTTTAAGTATTAGCAATAAAATACTCACGTTTGTAGTGTAATTCGTTTAACCCTTCTCGAAAAGCAAATATTCCAAATAATAATAGAGTGCGAAGTTCTGAACCTTTGTATTTTTTTAAAAATATGAGAGGACGAGGTATTCTAGTTGTATTGGATGGATAATGAATTTTGTCCAATGAAACTTGAATACTTTCCATTTTATTTTTACATGGCCACTTTTGTTTAGCATATTTATCATCAAACAGAAGCACAAGAATGCGTCGCTGGAATTATAAAAAGTAAAATTAAATAATAGGATATTATTAAACTCACAAATACGCCGTGGTAAACGTTGTGTAAGGAGTCGTTTGCAAATGACTGGCCAATATCGAAGTTACTCAAATCTCGCAAATGACAAAAACCTTTATGACCACACAATATTTCGAGGATTTCGTCTTCAGCTGTTCTTTGTCGAACATCCTTTGAACAGAATTTATAGAAACCATATTTAATATTTTGAAAAATCTTACTGGATTACAAACTGTTTCGATCATTTGATCGTACCATTCATTAGTGCGTAAACTATAGGTGATTGTTGGTGCTGTTGGGAATACCCGTATCATAGTTTTACCGGTAGAAGCTTTATCGCCTGAAAATATAAGAATAAGCTGTATTCTAATATAATTGTTTCTCGAGAGGGAAGCTTTCATTCACCTTTTTACTAATAGGTTTTAGTCAAGTGGTAAAAAGAATATAATTTTGCTTCCCATAGAATAAAAAAGCTAAAAAGAATGATGACTTTCATGTGAAAAACATGAAAAAAATAACATTTCAGATCATGAAATCGATATAAAGATTGATGTATTTCATTTTCATTGATTGAAATGAAAATTTTCATTAATGTCATTGCATGATTTCTATTACAAATCAAAGGCATAAGATGAAATTCGTTAAGATTCAAAAAACATCAAATGAGATTGATGAAAATTTCCATTTTAATTGATGAAAATGAAACACATCAACTGTTATATCGATTTTATCATTTTAACGCAATTTTTTTGATTTTTTAATTCTCCGGGTTGGTACGAGGGCTATTTTAATCAAACTAATGTCATGACTTCACGTTGTCTTAATCAAAGTCCTGATATGAATTTGATTAAAATATTTATTTCATCAACTAAAATTTTATTTTTTTTATTTTTCATCATTTCCGTCAGTGAATGTTTATAGAAATTTCGTGCAAATATATCCGATTTGCCTGTTTTGTGTTCCTCGTTACATAACTGACCTTCAATAGTGCATGAACCACATCCGAAGCGTCCATGAGGCTCTCCAAGGTTTTGAAGAAGTGCTTGGGCTGGCTTATCGTTGCAGCTGAGTATTAAGAAAACTGTTGCTTGATCTGGAGTGTTAAAACTAATTCCATTTTCAATTCTTTTTAAATTTTGAACAATAGGTTTAAGCATTGACTGCATTTGTGCCTTGGACGGCTTACAAAGGCTCGAGGAAATAGCCAAAATTAACATGTTATTTAATTTAAATCGATCTTGACGAGCAACTTCATTGATTGCAGCAGTAAATATCCAAATAGATCGATTACTTGATTGAAAAATTGATATTCCATCAATGTTTAATGTGAGTGTAATGAAAGGATCACGCTGAGTTCGAACAAGTTTTCTATAAACTGCTCCATCACAAACATCTGATAATTCTGTTGCTGGAGAAGTTCGTATATCATTTTTATAAAATTTGATTTTTGTACGAGATAAAATTGATAAAAGCTGGAATTCAGTTGGAAAGTACAGAAACTCCGTTGGATATTTAATAAAAGAGCCGAATAGTTTACAATTTGGATTACGACATTGTGTTTTTCCTTCAGAGAGAGAAGCACATTCATTACACACCCGATATTCTACTAAATCAGTAACATTCTTTCGTGGAACAAGAAAATTTTTCAGTTGTTGAAAAGACATCGGTGAATTTTTTATGCCAAGTCGGATAAAGAGACTACATAAATCATCAATATACGAGTCTGTTAAATGATGCCGAGCTTTAAGAAGCAGAAGGACGACAGACAGTTCACGCATAGTTGGTGGATCGTTTCTATAATGAAAATGATAGTCATTGTTAAGGATATTTAAAACATGCAAAACGCTTATTTGAATAGTATTTTTGTCATATATTGCCGAAAATATGAAGTGAATTTGGTGAATTCTTTATCAAACTCAAAATAATGATATAATTTTGATTCTTCATCAAAATAATGGCATGATTTTGAGTTTTCATTAAAATTACTGCATGATTTTGATCAAAATGCTTATTTAATTATTAATATTTTATTTATTCATTTTCTCAGAAATTTTTGACAAGTCCTTTTGTATGATGAATGTAATATTCTGACTTTTCTGGAATCCAGTTGGATTACAAGACACAAATAAGAACTTATTTGAGGTCAAAAGTATCTTCTGTGTGTACCTGTTGATCGAGGGTGGTGTTGGAAAAAGATTCATTCTGATTGGTAACGTCATCGACATTGCTAAAAGTT